TAGTTTACGGCTCTTTACTGGCCGGACAGAATCTACTTTGCAAGACAACGCTCCGTTCTTCTTCTATTAACATCTAATTTCCAACAAACCCCTTAAAGTAGAAATAACCAAGCGTAAGTAGAGTTGAAAGTGAAGTTTCCGATACGCTGCGCCACTGCGCCGTCTAATTAACATTGTTTCTCATTACACGGTGAACAGAACAAATACGCAGTATCATTTACGTGGGGGCCGGTTAATTGTTATGCGCATACGCGGCCGATAAATCGCAGTGCGTCGCATTTACGACGGCCACCGTTTCATTATGCGCCGCCTAGTCGCGAACAATAGGAAACGGTATTAAATGGAAAATATCGTGCACGCTTACGTGCCGATCGAATAAAACTGACCGCGCCAGAGAAATATTATCCTTGTTATTTATCGTAATAAAATACCAACCCCACCTTATATCCTACCAATTAAAAAAAAAAAAACAACGTTACTTCTCCTTTCGCGATCGAAATAAAAATGGCACGGAAGTGTTTTTCCTTCCTCCAAGTAAGAACTTGAGCAAACAACGATAACGCAATAAACCATCGTCGAAACGAAGTTTCGTCGCATCTACCTTCCACCAACGAGACACACAGTTTTTCTTTCGTTTATACACCCGGCTGAGTAATAGGATCGCGCGAATACATAATCCCCCCCCCATTTACCATCTCAGATCAGAAATAAGATAGAAATAAAAAGAGGAGAAAAGGAGAATACAAAAGGGTGTGGGAAAGAGACCAGATCGAACGCGAAATTCTATTTCCCGACGATCGTAAATCCTTTCGAGAGGACGTTCGCGACAAAACCCTGTTTAATGTGAAGGGGTTGCCGGGAGAACGTAGGAGAGAAACGCGCGGTGTTTCGAAGGTGAAAAAGCGAGGGAAACTGTAGAACAGAGGGGGGTTGGCAACGATATTATGGCCAACTAACGAGGTTTATTAAGCCGAACGAAATTGCGGCCGGCTTGAAAACAGGTCTGGCAGTTTAGAGGCTCGTAATTCGAGTGGTACGAAATAATAAGGGTCAGCAATTACGAGCCGTGTGCGGTAAGAAACACACCGATATTAATATCCGGTCTGGGGCGAGGAGGGACCAACCGCCGTCAATTACGAAAACCGTCGGGCTTTAATTTCGACGACCCACTTTTCGTAGCGATTCAGTTGCCTCCTCGGGCTCGAACAGAGCTCGAGAGCTTCTTTCAGTTTCGGAAGAAAGGGAAATTAAGGCTCCCGTTGGGAATAGAAACGATTACGCGGGCTAGAGCTCGTGGCTGCATTGAGAACTCGATGGAAAATGAAGAGGAAGTTGAGGATAAGTGACGATGTACTTCAACGATCATCCTGGTTGATCGTGTTTAACATACCAATGTACAGTGTAAAACAGAGGAACAAGTTGAACGATAAAAACAACGAACACGTTTAATTCGTTCGAGACGAAAGTTTGGCGAAAAAGCTGCTCCTTGGAGGAAATCGTCACGAACTGTCGTCGCTAGCTAGCTGAACGGTATGCTAATTGGACGCTCGACTTAACGTACCTCACGGGTGAGTCGGCAAAACGAAGCAACTTTAAAGCCCGTGAAATTGAAACTAAAAACCCCTGTGATTCTACCTGGAATCGTGAAAAATAATACGGTAATTACGTTGCCTTCTCGCCAATCTTCTTCCTCCTCCATCTGGCAAAAAACCAACAGTCAAGAGGGTATTTCGTGGGATCGTTATCTGCGACGGACGCCTTTATGACTTTGCTCCTTCTTCCATAAGGATTCAGTCGTTTCAGGCTGGTCGAGGAAATGACGTTCCCTTTACGATACCTAATAGATCGTTCCTCCTCGTTCGATCGCGAATCCACGGTGAATGAGCCACATCCAACGACCACACGAAGATTATTTTCCTGGTTGGCTATATACGGCTGGCCAAATGAAGTATATCTCGGAACACTTTTCCGCCCGGGATTTCTTGCCTTTTCTCTGAAAATTCTCCTCCACTTCCCGACCATTCTTCCCTCGTGAAGAAAGAGGACTTCGCTACGAAAATTTCTCCAACTTACAGATCAGACGAGAAATCCGAACAACTGAAATGGAACACGTGTTATGCTTCAGAGACGTTTATTAGATTACGTACACCAGAAATATATGACGTCACGGTGAGAAAAAAGAAAAAAATCGCTCGAGTATCGTGCATGTCCTTGACACGGATCGGTCACTTTGACGGAGGTTCGGGAAAAAGGTTACAGCACACCTAACTCGCTCGGCCGCAATCCAATATCCGTCTATAATTCATAAAGCGAAAGCCGATAATCTATGGTAAAACGATATCCAGTCGTTCGTACGATATCCACCCACAATCGACGACAATTTGTCCACCTTTTTCATACATATCGTACACCTGCTCTATCGTTAAATGTCATTCCTCGAGAATTATTCGAGCAGCTTGGACGGATAAAGCACCACTTCCAACACGAACAACAGCAAACCACAGGAGAACCCTATGATGATCAAAAGAAACGCCGGAACGAACTGTTGCAAATGTAGCTGCGACTTGTAATCAGCGTCCTGTGCACTTCTGAACAGCATCAGTCGTTGCTCCTTTAGTATAGACAGTTCCAAGAGGAAATCGAAGAGACCCAGATCGATGTAATCGTGGATCTTGTCGTTGATCTGTCGCAGATAAGGAAATCCCTTCCAGGCAGCCAGAGCCAGCGGAAAACTGCACACAACGTCTGTGGTCATCGTGTATGCGTACGCTGTCTCTATAGCGTCGCTTCTCGAAGAGTTCAATACAATGAGCAGCGCGTAAGAAGAGTTTCTTCCGTCCAACAGATCGTCGAATTGCCTGATGTAATCATCTTGATCGAATATCACGAATTCCTCGGTGATCTGCGAGATCAACTTGTCGGTGTCTTCGAACTCCTTGAACAAACTAGCGAACGCGGCTGTTCCGCCAATTTTGAACGAAGAGGTCATCAAACTCTTCATAGTTTCGATCTTCAAGTCTGACATGTTGATCAGCTGATCGGCTAAAGAATCCACGTACACTTGCGTGAGAAATAACCCGAAGATACTCCAAGAGATGAACTGAATCTTGCTGGAAATTTTATTAGGCTGACGTGCAGCAGCGACGCCAATTATCAGAGAAAATATGTCCAAGCAGGACAAATCACGGCTGAGAAAGAACCTGACGAAAGCACCTAGTATTAAACTACCGCCTATAGCTATCCAGACGTAAGTGTGGAAAGGTTGAACCAGTCCTTTCAGCGACACGTTAGGCACTTTAGGTATCACCCAGACAACTTTCAGCATGTCGTACGTGGTAGAGTAGCCGATATCTTCGTGAGACTGTTGCAAAATACGCCCGATAACCAAATCAGCCATGACTTCGTTGTACAGGAACATCTCCACCTGTTCCGCATAGGTCGTGTTATC